GGGACTTTTATTAGCCGATATATTAATTAAAAACTAATATTCCCCTACGTTTTCCCTACATTCTCAACTTTCTTTCTTGGGTTTTCCCTCTTAGAAGGATTTGGCTACGTGTCAAATTCTTTTTTCTCGAATATCTACGGAACGGCACCGAATTGAATTTCGAGACGCTTATCCTCGAATTCCAAAAACTTCTCCGAATCCATCGATACCGTTCTCATCTTCTTACGACTTTAATCGGCCGAGATATTTATTAAAAACTGCGGAAACGTTAATTTCCACGCTCATTTTTCCGAGTGGCAACAATAAACTATCGACGACACACACTTTAGCCGCTTGAAGAAAAGGTATATTCAAAATGGAGATCTTATTCACAGAATCTTTCGGAATTAGCATTTTAGAAAACAATGGCAGGCTTCAATGTTGGCACGGTAGCCGTCTCATAACACAATGCGTTTATTTTAAAACAGGTACGAAACAAATTCATTATTTGACTCTTATTTCTGTCAGATTTTATTGTTCAGTTCTGTCCCTAAAACTTACTCTACTCTTAATCTCTCCCTGAAACAACTGTAACAGAAAACATATAAGAAAATAAAGTCAAATAGAGACACAAGATTCATATAATTATTTATTTGAATTTTGTCCAATTTGAATTATTTAAAAGTGAAAAATATTTGTAACTGGATAATTTTTATATTTTTTCCTCTTTTATGAATCTAAAGAAATAAAACTTTATGAGAATAACAGTATCGCAATTTTTAGATATCGAAACCTTAGGAACTACTTGGGTAAAAATTCTTTCAGTAATGTAACAAAATTATAAATTACGAATACTAGTAATATGATATCAATGAATGACATTTAAGGGGGTAAATCAACCTCAAATCATTGTAATTTGGTTATTATACCTCCCAGGGCAATTTAGAAAAAACATCAGATTTCGCAAGATTTCTATAAGTGGAAGTATATGTCTACGATTTCGCAAATTTTGAAGTTACATATTTCTGGCAGATTTTATCTTACGGAGTCAAAATTGAAACACTTTTTTAACAAGTACAAAATCTTCCTTGAACTGGGGCAACGTATAAAAAGTTACATTTAGTAATATATACAAAACTTAAATCTTTGAATTTAGTAATGCCAAAATATGATTCATTGCGTAATTTAAAATCTTTCTGTAAGTGGAAGTATATGTCTACGATCAACGGCTGCTAAAATAAATGCCCGGTAAAGGACATTTGTGGGCACGGTGTAATATATAAATAGAGAGAGAGAGAGAAAGTAAGAAATTCAGAATCAAGTTCACGTTTCACAAAGACATTAAAGAAATGAAATTCAAACTAGTAAAACCCCAAACTCCCTATAAATATATTAGAAATCTCAACCAATTCTCCCCAAACAAGAAGAATACTGTCAACTACAGATGTGAAATACAAAATTGCAAAAGAGATATAGGAAGGAAAATGCAATTAAAATCTGATTTAATGTTATCAGTAGGAGGCAGATCAGGTTGAACTCCTTCCCTCAAGAAAAATCACTGCATTTTTGTTCATTCAAAATTCCTTGATGAATCATTATAAATTATTTATTTATAACACTTCATCCGAAAATGCTAAACGCGTCCTTTACGCAGAGGAATTCCAAAAATGAAATTAAAGTATACAAAAACATATACGTATATAAATTCAATGTCCAATAAACTAAAAAGAAAAATAACTGGACACATTTTGGAGAAATTTAAGCTCACATTAGACTGTAATAATACAAAACACTCATAATAACTCTGACTCTTTTTATATTATTTCCAAGTCTTAGCTTTCAGCGAACAAAGACAAAAGATAGAAATGGTAAGCCTGAAGAATTTCATTTGAAGAAGGTTAAATTCGTTGAAAAAGCATTCATTTAATATATAGTTTTTTCATAATATTTAAGTCAGAATTATACAAATGAAGAACAGTTTTCATTAAAATATATTTCACCAAATTCGGTACTAAAATTTTCTTCTGAGCACTAGCAAATATTTTTGGCAAAATTATGATAATCACCTCATTTTGTTTGCACTACACCAATAAATTTTTATGTACCTGGCAGGGAATAAGTTCTTTGATATTTATTACTCGCTTTGGTATTGGTAAAATTGTGTAAATGATGATTTTATTAGCAATTTGTAAAATATATTATGAACTAAGAAACATTTTTATTTATTTGGTCATAATAAAATACTCAAAATTATCAAAGCCTGGGATCTACACCTTATTAATCGTAGAATCCAAACTGTATTCTGGTAACATGATTTATAATAATACATAATGCAATTTAAAGTGATATCTCGCAGTAAGAAAATATTAAATATATTTTTCATTACATGCGAAAACAGGTAAAATAAAGGAAAAGATCGATAAATGAAGGAAATAGAAAATGAAGTACAGTAGAGTCCCGAAACGCTGGACTTAATGCGGACTTAGAAGGTGATGAATTACGGTAAATGCCGAGTTTTATACAAATAAATAATCGGCTATTTACAATTCACAATTTAGACCAGAACCTAAATCCATGGCAAACCTATAAATACTTTCTCTTTTGCCGAATCTCCAATTTCATTTGCATTGTCATGTTTATTGTTTTTCATTCCTTCTCTTTCGGCGTTTTCACTTACACAGACAATACAATAATTGTAAGCCTGAATATAAAGAGCATTTTACTCGGAATGAATCGAAAGTTCAGGTTGCAATACGGTACAGCAGTAAACATTGAAACAAGACAGCGAACAGCTAGCAGAAGAAAGAAATGTGAATACTAACCGATAGCGGTTACTTGACTTTCTTCAGGCACTTTATTGCTGAGAGAAAGAATGGAATAGACTGGAATTTCCACGGAATTAACGAAGCTCTTTACCAAATTCTTTATACATGTTCCTAGAAAGTGGGTTGCAATGTGAAATAGACAAAAAATTCAATATTAGAGTACCATAATAAATCTTTGAAAGACTGGAAAAACGTGTGCACGTTTGTACGTTTAAATACGCACTGTTTATACAATAACACAGTAAATAAAATGCTTTATGCTGTTTGACTCGTATAGGCGATGTCACAAATTATTTCACACTAGCTATTAGGAAACAACCACATTCTGTCTAAGATCTTGACAAAAGAAATTTTTTAGCTTTTTAAAAAACCAGATCGTCGTGTTACACGGAATTTTGAGTAATCCGGTGTCACGTTTGACGCACTCTGCTGCACAAGTATGCTAAATTTAAATGCATCTTGTAATATTTGCTTTCATGGAATGGGAAACAGCTGATCAGATACTGATATATCTAAGTAGCGTAAATAAATTAAATCCCATTAGTATACAATCGTATTTATTGACACATTGCACCCTCTTTGTCTACTAATTGTATAGCTTGAAATCTTGGGGGTGGGGAGTTTTAGGTCGAACATATTAATATTTATAAAGAGATAGCTTAAACGATAAGCACTTATAACTAAAAGTATATAAAGGCGATTATTATACTACGTACTTTAAAGAGCTTAACCATTTCAATAATATATTTTTCAACTTACATAAAATAATTTCCTATTTAGACCTACATTTTACAATTTTACCGTGAATAAGAAGTTTCAAAATCATATGCTGAAAACTCTAGTGGAGGGGGGAGGAATTGCGTGAGAGGGAGAAATGGTCTAGCAAATGCAGTATTTGTCAAGCAATGAGCAATATACGAGGATAACACCAATCATGTTCATACACATTGTGTTTTACATATAAGAACATTTTTTAACATTGGGTTTCTTTTCCTTTTTTCCATCCGCAAAACAGATGGTCCACTGCGTTAGGTGCTCTTCAGCCTGTTGGGTCCCATCGATGGAATTTCTTTTTTTTTTAAAGGAAATCTGAAAGGTTTCAAATTTTATATTACGCCCAAACGGATGTTATTTTCATTTACAGACATATGCACATTTTCAATACATTTGGACTAACACCACGGTTAGCCCAAATGGTTTCTGAACATTTGGGTTCAAAATATTTAAAAACGGTATATCTTTAGGGTTTCTGATAGACAGTCTTACGCCCTGGAGATATAAATGATTTATCCTCTGCAAAGTTGCCACTGTTTGCTTTGGAATTGTTGAGATTTTATTCAAAAATTCGTTAACGTTTTACAAAATATGAAATAGGTAATAAAATAAACTCCAAATAAGGGCTTCCAGGTGCCCTTCTTCGTGTAGATGACTGTATTATTCAAATTTTTGTGACTCTAGGCACCGTTATTTTTTACAATGCGAGAAACATGCATACATCCATGTAGATTCTTCATTATTTAATTTCTTTATATATAATGCAGTTCGATAATATTCGGTGGTAAGAATTGGAAAAGTGAATCGGACATTTTTAAAGAACTGCAGCAAGAGGCCCTTTCAAGACTAATAAACCTTTTGGGCTAAAACTATATCTGGAGCTTAGAGTACTATGTACTTTATGAACTGACTACGTAAAGTGAGGAACTCTGAAAGAAGGACCAGAACATGGAAAGAATGTGCATGCTGGGGATTTCGGAGAAAGTTCCTGTTGGGTCTGTTGAGACTAATGAGAAAATGCTGATCACCGCAAAGTTGCTGTTACATGCAAGGATACCGACACTACGAGTACAATAGCAGTATTTTTAATATGGGATATTTAATTAAGTAGGATGAATATACTTTTAATTGTGGGATATTCTTGATGTCAGAGACGACACATTTCTAAACCAACATTTTCGACACAATTTGTATTAACTTTTACTACCCTGTTTGCTACTAAAATTACTATCTGCAGAAAGGCGTTTGGTGCAATCTTCTTTCGTTAATAGACACTTGTAAATATAATGGCATGTATCGCACATTTCCCTGCATTCGTAGCAGCTACTGTTTTTCATATCCATATCGTAACAGTATGTAGAAAACGGGAGCGTCCTGTCTGATGCAGGCTGATTACCGATAATTTATTTTTTCTTTCTGCAGGCGGAGTGAAATGCAAAGTGAGACTGAAGAGACAGTATATTACATCAGCGATGCCGAGACATCTCCAAGTCCTGGAGATTCTTTCGAGTTTTCTGAAGCAGAATGCGACATGCACCTCCGTTTGGCGATGGAGGAACGACCTGTTTGACATTCGATCCGACAGACCGGTTCCTAACTACAAGGGACCCCAAAAAAAGAGCTCAAGTATCATCTGCACAGTTAATTATCTGGATTCATTAATAAAAGTCTAATTATTTTTTGAACTGTTGTCTTCATTTGTTTTTGTTCATTATCAGATATTTCAAAACTGAATGGAGATGCATTGAAACAAATATTAAATTACGTAAAGGGCAACGTTATTTCAAATTCTACTAATAAGTAGCCATTAATCCAATTTAAGCACTTTTTCAAACATTTGATGAAACTAAATCAAAATTGTGTAGTTGGCAAACAGCTCTTCAATATGGAATTTTAAAATCAATTCATTTAATTTTAAATATAAATCTAATCACACAACGCTGGAAAATGCGAGGAAAGGATGATGCCCCCGCAAGCAAGAATCTTAAATTACTATTTCTTTAATTTTACGGGATATGTTATCCCGTTTGTAGCAGATGTCATGAAGTTATTGCTTACAAAATATTAAAATATTGATTAAAATATCATTAAGTTCTGCTCCTTCACTTAGTTTTCTTTCAAGTTCTTAAGCTTTCTATTTAAGGCTGACATTTTGCAATACCCTTATTACTTCAGCTCAGATGTCTGTCGTTTTTCAGTCAAAAGGTTTGCTTTCCATAAATAAAGGTTTCTGGAAGAGCTGTGACATTAAAGTGACGTACGTAGAATTCCGAGTATTCATCAAGACATCGCTTAGCGTTTAATATGCTTTTTCTATGAACATAGATAAGATATGCATTTACTAAACGTGAGGCTAATCCATGTCACACACGTTTTGGGGCTGAAATGTTATTATTCCCTCATAGTAACAAGATGAATTACATTTCTTGGTTCGCATCAGATTCAATTGAATCGCGAGCTACGGTTAAAAGCTACACAACACCTTTTAAAACTCCTTTAAATAATCTCTACAAAGGTGTTTTGTGTACGTGGTACTAAAATATCAGGAATCAAAAGATTTCTTGCACTCAAGATATCGTTTAAACATAAACGTTTTTGGTGCAATCTCTTTTTTGGTGAAATCCAAACTTTTTTGGTGCAATCTCTACAAAGGTGTTTTGTGTACGTGGAACTAAAATATCAGGAATCAAAGGATATCTTGCACTAAGCCTTGAACTCAAGTAATCGTTTAAAAATAAACTTTTTTGGTGCAATCTCCACAAAGGTGTTTTGTGTACGTGGAACTAAAATATCAGGAATCAAAGGATTTCTTGCACTAAGCCTTGCACTCAAGATATCGTTTAAACATAAACTTTTTGGTGCAATCTCTACAAAGGTGTTTTGTGTACTTGGAACTAAAATATCAGGAATCAAAGGATTTCTTGCACTAAGCCTTGCACTCAAGATATCGTTTAAACATAAACTTTTTGGTGCAATCTCTACAAAGGTGTTTTGTGTACGTGGAACTAAAATATCAGGAATCAAAGGATTTCTTGCACTAAGCCTTGAACTCAAGTAATCGCTTAAACATAAATTTCGTTGGTGCAATTTGTCTTTTCTAGTGGCAGCTTCTCATTACGATCTCATTCTAGAAAATATTGATCGTCAAAAGAAATTTCTCTGTTGTCCTATTTCTCGCCTTTCTTCAGTTTCTTTCCTCCTGAACACCATTTTTGAGCAATAGATACAATCTTATTAACTATTTCTTCATTTGTTAATGTCTTCCAAACTATCTTTAAATATTTTTAAGGTATTTCTGCCGCCTTCCTAGCGTGGCTTCGTGGTGTAGTGGTCAGCACACTGATCTGGTATTTCAGAGGTGCGTGGTACGATTTCCGGCGAAGGCGATTACTAATTTTCATCTCTCCGGCTTCCAAAAATCCTAATATCTCTACATGCTTTTGGGTAATATATTACATTTGGGTAATGTATTACATTCTATTCAAAACGTTCGAAGCACTTTATGATCTTAATATTTGAAACTCTGCCCTTAAACGGCCAACAGACTTACACCACAAATATTCATCTGAAGATTTCTTCAGCGCCACAGACATAATTTTATCTTATCAACCAGAACTTTCTTCGCAGAGTGTCAGAATGGTTTGGTTTGGTTTATTTAATTACGGCAAAGCACACGAAAGTTATCTAAGGGGAGGGATGCCTTCGTGGAGGACTTTTTAAGGGAAGCTGACTCGTATACACGTTACACATAGAGTGTCAGAATTAAAATATTAATTTCGCATATTTCTCCTAAAATGTGCTACGTGGCCAAAGGGATCACATAATGAAGTCCTTTCTCTGTTTGAGTCATTTCTTAAACACGGGTATACGGTCAGATTTTCAAGAGACACTTAGTAATGTAAAATTTCGAAATACCTCATATGATGTTTCCGTGTGCATTACTCCATACAGCTACTAAAATTACGTATTCAAGCTGATTTAAAAAAGATGAAAAATAAAATTTTATTTAATTACATCCTAAGATTAAATCTGTCAGGATTTATTTTATCTATCCGTAGAAATTAAAATTAGGAGTACTTTTAATTCAATTAACAGCTTTTACTATATCATATATTAATATCTGCTTTGTGGGTAAAGTAATGACCTGAATCCTATTAATCGATGCCGCTGCATACAAAAATGTGCGATTACTTAATATAAACTGCCATTCCATGTGGTTCAAACAATAACAGCAAAAAGAATATAATCTCTATTCATGGAGAGCATCTATTATCTAACACTTGTATAGGAAAGGAAATACTAAGCGAACAAATGTCAAGAAGGAAAAGAACTCGAATGAAATAGAGAAAGAAAAGAAGACGCTGTCTGATTGATGATCTTGAGTTACGAGTTTGACAAGCCCTCTAGGGGCTTACCCCATCCAACAAGGTTAAGGATGTATCATCGGAAAATGGGGATGTTCTCACAACTCTAGCTGTTTCAGTCTGAGGTCGCGGATTTACTCTTGTTTCGTGTCGTGTAATGATTTCGTGCATACATCTCATTACAATAAAAAATGTTCTCAGAGTTGATTGAAATATAAATGAGCAGCGATGCTTGAAAGGATTGGTTTTTGAAGTGAAATTACAGGGAGGATTTGTTCCACATATCAGAAAGCAAAAAACAGAATCGATTTCGTTTTCCTTTCATTCCAAATAGTAGGGAAGAAAAGTTTCTGTCGCACGCACACGCGTGCGGAGATTGTGCATATATCGAAACTAATAGTGGTAAATTCAAGAGAAAAATATTAAAAGATGTAGACCGAATCGAGAATAGTGCATTTCAAAAGCGCTGCATTTTCACAACTAAGAGACGGAAATGTACTTGTATATGTTAGAAACTAGAATAATTTTAAATGTATGACAACTCCCATTTAACACATTATTTAAAGGTTGAACTATTAGATTTTTCCTCTAATATTTCTTGAAGCATATAAAATTGCTCTGGATGTTCCGCTAATCATATCCCGTCTAAATGCATTGAGAACCTACTAATCGTCACATGTTGCGCTTGTGAGAGCAACTTATATTACCCCAAGAAGCATCGCCACAAGAAATCTCACAGTTCATATTATATATTTGAATGCCCTAGAATTTGTTTATTACGAACTGAATCTTTTATATCAAGAACGTTAAACGCTCCTGCTTTCACAATCAACAACTAGAGAAATTTAAAACCTAACTCCAATAAATTATAATAATATAACATATATATTATCATATATTTTCAAAATTAAGCTTAAAAATTTATACTACTTCAAATTTTGAAATCTTAATTTGGTCACAATCTTTAATTCAGTTTTTTTTATAAAATTGCTAATCTTCGATATTGAGTCTTAATGACTAGTTTCATGCATTTAATAATGTATAAATGAGAATGCAGATAGAAAATTTAACATAAGAACGATAACTCTATATACATTTAGTCATTCCAACACCGAAAACATTAAGTTTATGTTAACATTATTACACTCTACTCAAAACAAATATGGGGTACCTTGTGTTAGAAGAGGTTAAGAATTAAAATTATAAAGTTGATAAGGTTTGGCATATGAAAATTTTGTCTGTGACATCGGAAACTGCTGGTTTTACATGAGGAAAGAAACGCAACCTGCAGCATTCCTTCTGTGGAAGGAGCCAAAAATCATTGCGACGTGTTGAATATTTTGTAGCACTGAATGTGACATTTCAGCAGGATGAGTTTGTTGAACCGGTAGCCTTGAGGGTCATCAATCGTTTAGTGGCGTGTCAAACCCAATCCGCTGTAGCTGAAGCAATACTAGTTTTTTTTGTTCGTGTGTATAATACAGACAAAATGTGCATTTTTCGTTTGCCGACATACATCGTAAAGAGAAAAATATTAATTCCTCTTTCGTTGCATCTTTTTATTTTCTCGCACCATGCATCACCTATACATTATATTCAGTCACCAAATATTTCCTCATTCGCAATTTATAACTAAATTTATAATATGTTTCAACTGTTTTGAGCAATGCACATTAATTAAGTATATTATAGATTAAATGTAACACTTTATGATAGTTTAGAAGTGTCTGGTACTATGAGCTTTGATTAAATTGTCAACAGGAAATACCGAAATTTTTACAACTGCAGATATTTAAAACTGTATCCTTATTACTTTATATACATATATCTGTATATGTGTCTGCGTATGATAGAGAGATGGAGAGACAGTGGACAGAATCCCTCTTCATAGAATTCTCTTACCAGGTAAGGCTTAACTGTCGGTAATTTCCAGAAGGTGATGTAAACACACTTTAAACCAAATTAAGTGTTTGACTTAAATGTATAACGAATGTCTTAAAAGTTATAAACTCGAGAAACAAGATGATAAGTATTAAATTAACTCATTAACCGCAAAACTACAAGGAATGTTTCTTTTCTCATGAAAATAATAGCAATTAATAAATTAAGCTTTTATAACATAAATTTACATTGAAAATAAAAAAAAAATGCTCTTACCTGTGGAAAACGCGAGTGTTGCGTTCGCGCAACGTCTACGGATGTTTAGTGAGTAGGGTTGTACTCGTGTGATGTTTCTTTTGAGTGGAGCGCAGAATTACTTTTTAGCTGTATAACGTTTTATAAATCTACAAATCACTTTACTCGTAATTAAT